CATTGAGACCCTCTTTCTCCCTTTCATTTGCTAAAGGTAATAAGCGTCTTGCAATCCAAACATCACTATGACGAAAGAGAAGCCCGCGGTGTTTGTGAGAAGGTCCAAGCAAAGCTCCTCAAAGAGTGTCATGATCCAGCAAAGATGTGCATTACTGATCTAAGAATTTCACATTGGGAAGAAGCTATACAGGAAACAAGGGGTGGCGAAGTCGATAGAAATCTGGCTGCAGAGTGTTATTTCCTGTGGAAAAGGACACGCCTCCAGCATCTTATCCTGCCAGAGGATACAAGATGCATGTTAACTGAACTTCGAAAAATGGTCCGCCTTCTTCTTTTAACTAATGGAGACAAGCAAACGCAGAGGGAGAAGATTGAAGCATGTGCCTGTCAACCGTATTTTGATGCTATCGTTGTGGGAGGAGAGCAGAAAGAAGAAAAACCAGCACCTTCTATATTTCATCACTGTTGTGATCTCCTTGGAGTGCAACCTGGGGAGTGTGTCATGGTTGGTGATTCCCTAGACACAGATATTCAAGGAGGTTTGAATGCTGGTTTGAAAGCAACTGTCTGGATAAATAAAACAGTGGTAAAGCCTATAAATACCTCCCCAGTACCTCACTATGTCATTTCTTCTGTTCTTGATCTTCCAGCACTCTTACAGAATATGGACCACAAAGTGAATGCTAACCTAGAAAATAAAATGGCTAGTATTAATGAAATACATGACAGTTCCACTATAGAATTGCAGAAATGCTAAGTGCTTTGATTGATAATGCTCAGGTTAAAATTTGGCTCTAAAAAATGTAAACATGATGTTTACTTAAACGGTGGATGTGTGGATATTTGTGCATGGAGTTGAGTAGAGGAAAAGTATAGAAGATTCAATCCAATACTTACTGCTTGAAAGTTTTTGAAAAGGAAAAGCATAAGTGCAGTTCTCTTAAACTGTCTACACCTGGAAATTATTTTGACAGACTGTTTCTTAGGCATGTCTGTCTCTGACCGAAGTCTCTTATCAGTCTCTCTAATTTCATAATGAAAAGGGGAAAAAAAGTGTTTTGATTTTTTTCCACCCCCAGTTAGTTTCCTGGCTTACAAGTTTAGCTGGAACTCTAATTGTAAAGATTGTTCGCAGTGTGCAAAACAGGAGAAGTCAGGAGAGAGTAAATCTAGTAAACTTTCGTAATTGAATATGGAAATGCTTCTCCAGAAGAACTGAATTTCAATATTAAAAACATAAAAACGATGGGATCCAACATGTCAGGATGCTTTAACAAGTTTTGGCTTTGATTTTTGAGGGAAAGTGAGGTAAGGTTTTTCAGTTAATTTTGAGAGTTGTTGCCCTTATTCACAGATTCCCTTCTCCCCGCAGTGACTTTTTTTTTTTTTCTTCAATAGGACACCTCCCTGGCAGAAATACATGTTCACTTCAAAACTTCCATCTGTATAGGGGACCATTTATCAGAGATACTTGATGGATCAGTTTTTGTTATACTGCATTCATACTAAGTATAATTGTAATGCAAGTTATAATTCATGTAACTCCTGAGCTAAATGATTTCACAGGGATATTTTCAGTGATCTTCATACAGTTTTGTTGAACATATTTTTAAAGTTTATGCCTCTATTTGGTCTGGTTTTATTGGTGAATCTAACTAACCATTTTGCAGACTTTGGGCCTGATCCTTTACTTGGCTGGGGAGACTCAAGAGTCTGCTGACTCTGATCCAGATGTGAGATCAGGGCTGTGGGGGGCTCTCTTTAACTGTATGTTTGTACAACCTCTCCTAATTGCAGATTCTACATGTCTTTACATTTTCTTCAAGTAACTACATATGGAACTAGTACAAGTAAATGGTTTACATCATTCTCTTCTAGAAACTTTAATAATTATATTGCATGTGATAAATGGCTGTGGCTCACCTTTTTTCACTGATTTTAGAAGATTACATCATTAAATACTATACAGCTACTGTCCCCTCACAAAAATATTAATTTAATTTTGTTGTACTTTGGTTCCTTTGTGATAAAGATCTCTGTAAAGGACAGTTTTTAAGATTTTTCTGAAGACAAAACTGGTCTTATTATTTCCCAAACTTGAATTTTTGGGAAAGCTTAATTTTGATTTTTTTTTTTAATTGGAATTTATATACTTCTGTGAAATCATGGAATCTTTTTAATGTTGTAGCCAAAGATGTCATTACATGCTGACAGGTTTCATGTTTTACAATAATGCTCATGGCAGTAGGCATTGTGGTATTATGGATATTTTTTGTGAGTTAGCAGAAAAATGTTTTGCTGACTTTGAGAGTCATAAAAGACCAGCACAAAGCACAGAAACCTACTAGAAAGCAGGGTATGTGGAATGGCTTGTCTGTGTGAGACAGTTGCATTAGTTTAGCAAAGCATGCATCTAAACCAGTTAAGTTACGTGAGCATAGTCTCTTGCACTGAAATTCTTATTTTGGTTGAAATAAAGTCCAATTTGGTTAGCCTAACTTGACTGAGATTTAAGATAAATCAAAATAAGTCACTCTTTATCTAGTACCTCCTTTAATAAACTGCTTTTCAGAAAAAATGTAACCAGTTCAACTGAAGAACTAAGCAAGCTTCAAGGAACATAAAAGCTTTTAGTATATATTAATGTTTGTGGGGGGTTATTTATTTTTTTAAAACTAGGCGTATGAGGAGGATTATGTAAAGGGGAATAAAAAAGCATTGAGAATGTTAAATGATGTTGCCAAAAGAAAATGTTAGAGAGTGGAATTGTTGGATTGGCTGTAAATTTCTTTTGGTACTGAACCATCCTAATTCCAAGTGTTTGAGTACTATAACCACTTAGCTTTTATCACAGTTAAAACATTGGTTGTTTGTGTGGCACCACGCATAATGGCATCTTAGTCTGAGAGGCGTTTATATATTTGTGTAGTAGAAAGGTACAAACTAATAATTCATAATAATGTTCATGGACTCAGGTAGCTGTTGTAAATTGTCACAGCTCTGTTGATTTCAATTGAGTTTCCATGATTTATGAAAGTTGGGATCTGGTTCATACTCTCTTCTTGCCAAAGTATCATTCTGACTTAGGTTACTGAGCCTGCTTAATGTCTGGACAGTCTCCTTCTGTTTTACAGTGGAACATTGTTATTTTTGTTTTGCACATGGCCAGTTTTTTCTTAAATCTAGTCATAAAAGAAGAAAAAAAGCACTCTTATTGTATACTCAGGTGATACACTGGTATGCAGTGGCCAAATAAATATTTTTCTCTCATTTCCTGAATACTGTACCAGGCCATCAGCCTGCACTTACGCTACTTTCCATTGTTAGTATGCTGCTATAAAACAAGAAAAATGTGAAAAACATGGAAGAGGGGAAAAATGTAAGGTGTTTACAAAGAACCAGTCACTTAATCTAGATAATATAGTATTAAGGTTCTTTCAACAACTGGGCTGAGTTTTCTTGAAAATAAAAAGTTCTGGATCATTTTCACATCTGGAGCAGCAAAAAAACAGAATAGTGAAACAGTTTTATTCAGTTGATTTCTATTTTTGTGTCATGACTATGACCCAGAAAAGAAAATAAATGACTTGACTAAAATGCACTGCCCAGAAACACTACTTGAAAACAAGGAATTCCATATACACCTTTACTAAAAATGTTTACCTCGAGATAAGTACATTTCTAAGGGAAACAATCTAAAATAGTTTTGAATTATTTTTGGGGGGGCCATTTATTTAACATGGATAAATGAAAGGCTTTGGTTTTTTTTTAATTGTTGATTTAAAAATAAATTATGTACTAATTTAAGAAAATATCTCCTGTTTTTACTTGGTTCTCTTATTTCTATGGATAACTATATTTATCATGTTTTCCTTTAAACACAGCCTGTTTTTCAAAAATAGTATCATAAAGCTAGACTTTTAAAACCTTGTACCTGATTTTCAGAGCTGCTGAATATCTGTGGGTACTGTTGACTTCAAATACAGCTGTAATGATTAGACACTGAAACAAAGTTATATTCCTTTAATCTCTCTGCAACTGTAGCTCTGTGCAGTTGTGGCAACACTCATTGCTATCAGTACTTGAGCTAGTTCAAATATATGTATGTAAACTACAGACACTGCACTGTGGACATCTCTTAAGTCATATAGGATATTACTGCACTGCAGAGTTAACTCAGTGATTGTCATCCTGGTTAACCTCTTGGACTGGGCGTAAGCCACAATGGGCAAAGTGAGGCCTGAGTTCCTGCATCTTCATAGCCACTACTTTCTTGCTGTTTCTGACACTGCTGTCACAAGTCCATCCCTGAGTTCTTTATGGAACAAGTTGCCAATCCTCTCAGCAGCCAGGGATGAGGTTATTGTGGGAAGGCTTTGGAGAACCATTAGCACTCAACTGATTTAGCTTGCAAAGTGAGGAGATAGCCAGCCTGAGTAAAAGCAGAATGGGAGCTCTGACCTGTACCTGGCTGGTCCATCTTGTCCTATTTGAAAGCAGCAATACACTTGGGTGAGAGGTTTTGGTGTGTAAATGAGTAGGAGAGAGAACAAGAAGGGACCACAGTTCATTATGGGTGCTGTCGGGGCCGAGGGGCTGTGGCCAGCAGCCCGGGCACGTGGGCCGGGGAAAAGGTCGGCACGGCGAACTAGAATTAGGCACTGACGCGTAGAGGTTGATTAAAGATTATTTTACTTACACCGTAGATGGTCACGGTGCAGGAAGGAAAACTTTCTTGAGTTGCAGTTACAGACAAACACAAGCAGAGTTTGCTAGGCTCCACCGAAGACACACGAGCGGAGTTTGCTAGGCTCCGCTAAACGAACACGAACAGAGCTCTGGATACCACTCACAGAGTTTGCTAGGCTCCGTGGAACGACCGAAATGAGAGTCTGAAAGGTGACTCTCCACAAGCGCGCAGGGTAGGGTACGTCGAGGGATCGTGCGGCGACGGGGAGAGGCTAGAGGTTGATCAGGCCCCTGTATCCTCCTCTAACGCACACGCGGAGTTTGTTAGGCTCCACAGCGCGCTTAGAGTTCTTCACGAGATGGATGTGAAGTCCTCCAACTTGGGCGGAAACTGCTCAAGCCTCTTATACGGCTAGCAAGCCAATCGCTAGCCGCCACGTGGGAATAGTTTAGAAGCAGCCAATAGTGGGAAACAAATTTACATATGGGTGGCGGGAACTCCTTTGCACCGGGGTTTTCTCTATGCAACTGAGAATTGCACCGTGCAAAGAAAGCTCCATGTGGCGGGAAATAATTCTGCCGTGCCAAAGCACACACAAAATCATACCCTTTGGGTCATGACAGGTGCATATAAAGGTAATATTGAGTTACTGCTAAGGGTTTTGGAAGGGATATTAAATCTCATGTTTTGGGGAATAAGCAAATCCTTAATCATTGGAGATAAGGAATACTTAACAGTTTAATAGTGCTATTTTCCATAAATCAGAGTCCAAATCAAGCCCAGGGGTCAGAGTCTGAACATTCCAGCATGCAAGTCGCTTTGTTTTGGCCAGTATGGATCAGACCAAAACCTTCAGCGTGTACATCTAGGCAAGAATATAGATGAGGGGAGGCTGCCCTGGGCCTACCCTCCGCCTTTTAGACCACTGAGACGGAGTCCAAAGGCCAGGCCTTGTGCAAATGTTCAATGCATCGATGGTTGTAGCTTCTGCTAGACAGCAACAAATTAAAGCTGTTGCTGATTGCCTAACACCTCAGTGATGAGGCATTTCTGTCAAGGTGTTGTCTCAGCCTTTTTCCAGTCAAGGAATGAGCCCCATGAAGCAGAGGGGGTTAGAGTTTTGAAGTGCCCTCAATTTGCCTTACTCTGCAGGTTGCAATGTTGTATTTTATAGGAACTATCCCACCATAAGTAGCTCTGCCACATTGCCACCAAGTCCTCCAGTTGGATGCATGCATGTGTGCACAGTTACACTAACTGGATTTTTGTAGTTATGTACACACACACTGCTATTAATACAGATTAATATAGCCAAGTATGTTTTTGGGTTTTTTGGGGTTTTTTTAATAAGAGCACACTGGGAGCTTGTTCAGTTTGTGGTCCACTAAAACCTTTCTGCAGTACTGCAGCCTAGCCTGTCACTCTTAAGTCTGTTCCATCTCAAGTGCAAGATTTTGCACTTGTCCTTCATACATTCCATTCTATTAATTTTAGACCATTTCTCCAGTTAATTAAAACCATTCATGTTCTTAATGTCATTACTGATCATTTTGGATCCTTCAAGATCTATTACTTTCAGGTAGTAAGATCAAACTAGTAGGCCTTGAGTCTTCCAAGCTATTCCATCTGATGTCAATGGGATTTACAGGCTACAGAAGTAGACTGAAACTCATTGTCTGTATGTCTCTGGTTGTTCCTAGGTCAATGGCTAGTGATTGACGGTGTTTATCAGGGCCATCCCTAGAGCGGGTGAATCAAGGTGACGGCCCTGGGCCCCATGCTTTAGGAGGCCTCGCAGAGCCAGGCCGGCTTCATGTCTGGCTGCTCGCCACCCTCACCGCTGTGTCCAGGCCCTGCACCCTGCTACGGTCATCTCTGGTGTTATACATGTGCTTCCAGGAGTGGAGCATGGGAAGGCAGTCCAAGAGCAGCTCTAATTAAAGCACCCAGAACATCTCATGTATCAGTGTCCCCATGCTGAAAAATGGCAGCAGGGATGCTTTAACTAAAGCTCATCAAACGAGTTTTAGTTAAAGTGCCTCTGCCGCCATTTTGCAGCATGGGGATACTGATGCATGAAATGCTGAAGTCTGCTGGAGCGTGGTAATTACCACGCTCCAGCAGACTTGATTAATCAAGTCTCCTCTGACACTATAATTACAGTGCACCAGAGCAGCCTCACTGCTCATGTATAGGTGCCCTCAGTGACTAAATTAAGGCTGTTCGCATGATGTTGATTGTGCACATTTATACTATTTGTTTGCTTATCTGTTTAACATTTTTTTGTTTGAATCTATCTTATTAATATTAGTTTTACTGTAAAGTTGCCTTAAGATTTTTAACTAAAGGCTTAGCTGCGTGTGTTTTCCACCTTATTTCCCTGTTAAAATTGCTATCTGGGAATCAGCTGTATACAATGAGACGTAAAACAGGAACAGAAACACAATCTGTGTTCTGTACAGTGTTTTCTCTGTCTTTTGTGCATAGCTTTTATTTTTCAACCAAACCTTGCAACAGATTGATTTTGCCCATTATAACTTGCTTTCTAGATCACACTGTGTACATACAAGAGATGCAACAATGCAGGGATGATGTCAACTGTGCCTAAAGCAAAACTGCAGCTTTGTGCCTATGTTATGAGGGACCCAGATATACAGTAACACGTACTGTCCTCACATTGTTGGAATGTTTGGTGCCCTATCTCATTTAACTAGTATGGAGTTGCACAGGAGAATTCTAATAGATTTTGCTCAAGGGCCAGGAGCCCTTGCCTTAATCAGGAGGTCCTTCCAGCCTTATGTTTCTATGATTCTATAACAGGAAAGCATAAGGGGTGTTCATTTTTATTTTGTATGAGTAATTATACCGTAAGAAGGTGAGATCTATGAGGAATTTCAACATTTAATCAGAGGCCCCAATCCTACAATGACTTCCATATGGGCCTTACCTTAAGAAATAATTTGTACATTGATGTCCCACTGAAGCCAGTAGAACTACTCATGTTTAAAATAAACATGTACATAAATCTCTGCAGGATCATAATAAAAACATACTTTTAAGGTTCTCCTTTTTTTTCCCTTCCTTGTCTGATCCTTTTGCTAACATATCTCAGGCACTTGTGTGGTTAACCATGTACTCTATGCTTCCTAAAACAGAAATACAGTTAGAGTCTGAGAAAAATTTGGCAAGAGGTTCCAGCAGAAACAAATGGAAAAGTTCCACTTTCACACAGAACATGAGATGAGAATCTAAATCTATCGCTGTCTTGCATGGCAGGTGTTGCTGGAAGTATTTGTTTAAACTGTGTTTTGTTTTAAATAGGCTTCCTTCTGAAAATACTTCTCTGTGGGTGCACTTACATGAGACATTTACTGAGGAGTGCCTAATTAGCTCTGCAGCAAACATCTCGGTGTGTATGCACTTGACCCTATTAGGCTGCAGGTAACTAATAAACTCTGCAGCAAGTTAGTACTTCATTGCTGGATAGCCCCGCGCTGGAGCACCCTCATGCCCCAGCCAACCTCTCCACAGCACGTTGAGCTGGGTCAGAGAAGCTCTGGGCTGGCAGGCTGACCTCCCAGGCCCCCTGTCAGCCAGGGCTGCTCTGACTTGGCTCAACATGCTGCGGCTCTGGGTGCGCATTCAAACGCAGCACCTGGGAACAATAAACCCTGGCACGATATGCACCAGAGTTTATTGCTGTAAATTAATTGCACATGTAGATGCACCCTGTATTACATAGCCTGGGAACATTTGATCTCCCTTGCATGGAAAAGGACTGCATTTAATCACACTTGGATATCACAGCTCATAAAGGACTAAGTGAGATATTTTTCCCACAATTCAAATACAATTTTGCTGACTTGCTGCTCTTAGAAATAATCTATGGGGAAAACTAAATATTAATAATTCTTTTCATATTTTAATACATTCTAGGACTTTTCTCCACATACTCTAAGAACAAGATTTTTCTATTTACTCACAAAAATTCTAGTCAAATTTAATGATACATGTTTAAATAAAGTATTTAAAATTACATGGTACTATTAGAAAAATATTTACTATTATAATTTATGTC